ATGTACTTTATGTAATGTCTTAAAACTGAGCCATCAAAGCACACAGTTCAACTAATTGCATTTAATATAAATTTAGTAAATGTTAATTTAATTGTAAACAAATAACATGCCGTTTGCACTTAAGTATATTATTATATAATAAGCACTCTTTTTAAAAGTATGCTAAAGTATAAATTCTGTCATCTTAACTTAACTTATGTAAAATTAAATACTTGATTTGGCTGTCAGTGGAGAAAGATGCATTTTGCCCCCTTGATGGAATACGCCCATTAACATCTTTTAAATTAGCCTATTTGTCACTGTACATATAATAATATGTGAATGAATTTTCTTGTTTTTTGTTTTTTTCACTTAGCTTAGGCTACATTTTGTAAGCTAACCGCTCAGTGTACTAGTTAAGCACACCACTAGCTGTTTAGCCTGATAGCTTACCCTATAACCTATGCAAATATATCATTTTTACATATTATTCGTTTTTGTTTGATCAGTTATTACAACTGACTACTGCATGTGGTCTTTGCCTCAGAATTTTTGCCTAGCTCACTGTCTCATTTGTCTTGCTTAGCTAAAACTGTATGCCTTCACATAGTTGCAAAGCACATCCTTTGGAATGATGCCTTAAGCCTTCACTGTTAAACTTTAAGTTTTTTTTTTTTTACCAGAATAATGAAAGTCAATCTTGCTATCAATAAGTAGCACAAAGCTATTTACTATTAAACACAGATTATTCTGCTTAGCTGGCCTTGTCATTTACTAGCGTTTACATTGTTTAGCTAGCCTTCAGTATAGTCAGCTCATCAGTGTGGACGCGTGCTTAGTTGTCTGAGCTGTGAATAAGTGAAGTTTGGCACACATTCCACAGCCTGGGGGGTCAATAGAGGGAATGTTTGCTCCGCCCCTCCTCTCCCACCAGAAACAAGTGTTTGCATGGAAAGCAAGAGTGGATGAAAGACACATTTGGTGCATTTAGTGTCCCTCTCAATGGTGACGTGACATCAGTCTTCTCCATCGGCAGGAGATGAGGGACAACAAAGGCAGTAGTGGGGGGTGAGGAAGAGGGAGAGAGAGGATGGAAAAGAGAATTTCCTCCATCCAAACCCTTTAGAAGTCAACAAAGCGTCCACATAGTTGGCTATCGTGCTGTTCCTGAAACTCTGCTTGTGTATTCTGGGGTAATTCCAGCAGTGATATAACAGCTTCCTGTTTTAGAAAGTTTGAGCACATTGAGACTCAATTATCCTCAATAAATTCACTGTCTGACTGGCTGGCTGTCTGACTGTCTTAAACGTGCAGTAACACAACCTGATGCAAGATACTTTGACTAACATTATAACTTGGGCGGAAAAAAATATGTGTGAAAATATAAGTGTAGGATATGGCCCCTTTAAGCCACAATTAAGTTAACTGGTGCTAATCCATAAACAAGTGAAGACCAGTGCCAAGTTATGAGAGCAGAGCACATCACTGAGACTACAGCAGCTTGCTAATAAGCCATCTTGAGTAAGTCATCACCTGCTGTAAGCAGCTGCAAGTCAAGCCGAGGCATTTCTCTCAGCAGTTACATGTGACACAGGAATGAGACAAGCTACATGAACTTGGAATGAACTGGAACGGATGGATGAATGGATGGATGGATGGATGATCGAAAAGACAAGACAGATAGATGGATGGATGGATGAACAGACAGACAGACAGACAGATTGACAGATAGATAGATAGATAGATGGATGGATGGATGGATGGACGGACGGACGGACGAACGGACAGACAGATAGATAGTAGGGATGTAACGATTCGCTCAACTCACGATTCGATTCGATTCACAATTTTTTTTAACAAAATGAGATTTAAGACAAATTATAAATTAAATGTGTCCTTTTATTATTGCTTGGACAAAATGCTGCATGTTTCTTTGTGAAATTGAAATAACACTATAATAATATACTAATATAGCACTTACATATTATTGCTCTTTTGTTGGTTTTGATTGCTTCTATTGTCCTCATTTGTAAGTTGCTTTGGATAAAGGTGTCTGCTAAATGACTAAATTTAAATAGAATGTAAATGTAAATAACAAAACTAAATTAACATTTTAAAACAAGCCCCAAATCAAATAAATAACACAAATAAAAGAAATCTCTTCATATGAACAAAATCAGGCTTTGTCTGTGCTTTCCATTTAGTTTTAAACATAAAGTTAAGTGCTTATCATTACCCATTTTACTCTTAGTAATTTAATAATTTAATAAATGTCATAAATTAAAAGTTTAGTTCAGAAGTATCGAATCGGTATCGATATTGACGATACTGCCTTTAAAAATATCGGTATCGTATCGAAAACAAAATAAGTGGTATCGCCCATCCCTAATGTAAACAGAAAATAACGGCTAATGCTGCTATCAGTGACTCAGGATTCAAACGTAAACGCAAGGCCATTGAATCCTGGATCTGAAGTTTGCTGATCCGCCGGGAAACCAAATATGAGAACTGGTCTAGGATCAGCTACCGTACCATATTATTAATTAATCAAGTCAGTTTAACAATGCGAACTTGTTCCTAGATCAGTACACATTCTAAGGGTGCTTTCACACTTGGTTCGATTGCTTGGTCCGAACCCGAGTTCGATTGCTCCCCCCTCCCCCTGCCCCCGCTGGACAGTGTTCACATTATATTATTTGGGTCCGAATATATGTGTATATATATATATATATATATATATATATATATACAACGTGATCTCATGATAATTCGTATGTATTTTTACGTAAAATGTGGTTCTATAAAACATAAACTAAGGGTGTTTTCACATATAGTTCGTTTTAAAAGAACCAAACCCAGTTCACTTAAAGTGAACCAGAAAGGGAACCAGCCGAAAGTGACCTCAGTCCTTTTGGTGTTCACAATCTAGTGGACTCAAAAGAGAACCCAGTTCTTATTTTGGTCCTCTTCAGCAATGAAGAGATCTCAGACCCTTTGACAGGAATCCTTTATTTCTGTGGACTCTCCACTTCTACGGATTTTGTCCCGGGTGCTCATGTACTTCTGGCGAAGTTTTTTCACTTTAACACGGCATTGTAGCGCGGTTCTGTTATATCCCCTTTCCTTAATTTTTTGGGCAAACAAAAGAAACACTTTTATGTTTTTATGAGTTGAGGAGAGTTGGCGTTTAATGTTATCATCTTTCCAAATTTCAATAAGTGCACAACTCTCCTCCTGGGACCACACAACCCCACGACCTGCCATGGTGAAAAGTTTTTTCTGTTGTTACAGCAGTGACGTAACATGGCTGCAGGTATAACAAGCCTCCAGTTACACATGTCGAAACGAAACGCAAAGCGGACCGGGATCTAATTGCTTTCGCATATCACGAAGATATCGAACCACAAACGGACCCACAAACGAACCGTACTCAGACCACCTCCGGAGGTGGTCTGAGTACGGTTCGTTTGTGGGTCCTTTTAAGGGGGGTCTGAGATCACATGGTTTGTTCACATATACACGCAGAACCACTCCGAGAGCGTTTGAAAGGGTTAAATTAACTAGGTGTGAAAACACCCTTAGAGACCAGAGTATACCACATCTGTTTACTTCTGCGTCGTCTGACACAGATTTATTGTCTCAAACTGGCGTCAGGAGAGATACGCTAGTCCTTCATTAGCACGAAAGGCCAACTTTTACCCAGAGTCTGAACAGCAGGTTTGAAACTTTCAATGTGGCTCAGTTTATAATTAGATGCATCTGCTGAAACATTGGCTCTGTTTAAGAGTGTGTGAATGGCTTGGACCCAAACCATCTCAGAAGTCTTTCACATCGCATGGCCAGTCATTTCTGGTTAGCAGAGAATTATAGGTTTATTATTATTGCTATTAGAAATGTAGGCCTACTGGTATGTTTAATCCAAAAATACAAAATACAATAATAATAACTGATATTAAATATATCGGTCATCTATTTGTTTTGAGATATGAACAGTTCTGGCAGAAGTTTAGTAGACTTTTCAAGCTGTCTGAGTTTCAAAACCTTTCAACTTTTACCCAGAGTCTGAACAGCAGGTTTGAAACTTTCAATGTGGCTCAGTTTATAATTAGATGCATCTGCTGAAACATTGGCTCTGTTTAAGAGTGTGTGAATGGCTTGGACCCAAACCATCTCAGAAGTCTTTCACATCGCATGGCCAGTCATTTCTGGTTAGCAGAGAATTATAGGTTTATTATTATTGCTATTAGAAATGTAGGCCTACTGGTATGTTTAATCCCCAAAACGTACAAAAGCTGGTTTACAAAATACAATAATAATAACCGATATTAAATATATCGGTCATCTATTTGTTTTGAGATATGAACAGTTCTGGCAGAAGTTTAGTAGACTTTTCAAGCTGTCTGAGTTTCAAAACCTTTCCCAGTTTCGATCATGCTTGGGGAGGAATTAATAAACACTGAGTTTCTGTATCTGGTTAGGGATGTTGCCTTTACGAACATTTACCATAGTTTCTGGCAAGGGTTACTATTATTTTTACGGTCACACTTTAATTTAAGGTCCAATTCTCACTATTAACAAACAATAAACTACGACTTTTGCCTCAATAAACTCCTAATTTGCTGCTTATTAATAGTTAGTAAGGTAGTTGTTAAGTTTAGGTATTGGGTAAGATTAGGGATGTAGAATATGGTCATGCAGAATATGTGCTTTATAAGTACTAATAAACAGCCATTATGTCAATAATAGGCATGCTAATAAACCAGTTAATAGTGAGAACTGGTCCCTGTACTAAAGTGTTACAATTTTTTTTACAATAAAACTGTGGTCATCAATCATAATTTATCAACATATTAATATAAATAATAATAGTGATATATAATATAATAAATATGTATTTATTTTAAGAACTATTTATTTTCTTAAAAACTGAACTGTGGTTATCGTGGTTCATTTTTGTAATTAATTAAAGGAACCATGTAGCATATTATGTTAAAGGAGCAACAAGTCAATTGAGTTCCTACCTCTGATCCAGTCCACGACCTGAGTCGGTGTCCACTTTGTTATCGGCTCCATTCTTCTGTTCAGACGTTCAGAAAGTTTCGGCCAAGTTCTCAAACTCACTAAAGTCAAATAAAGCTTCCTACGCTACACTCGAGCGAGCGTCCTTTCTCATGTCTAACCACTAAACACTAATGATCAGATCACAGGAACCGCGCGAAGCTCTACTCACAGACCGACGAGAGAGAGAG